ATGTCACAACTGACTGACTTTTGGCGGATGGTACGTACAACCAACAATAGGATGTTCTTCGTTTACAGGTGTTTCGGAGACATCTACCAACTGGCTTTGCCACGTTTAACGACAATTTTGTTGGTCTTTCGTTTACTGCGTATGTCGACGCTTGATACATTTTCGGCGCTAACTCCGCAACATCTTTTGATGTTGCAAGGAAGTGAAAGAACAAAGAAGCTATAATCAAACGTATATCTGCCCAAGAGAAATATCTAAAGACCATAGAAACGTAAAATGTGCAAGACTATTATGACATGGTACTGGCGCTTACTGTAAGTGTGATAGTCAAGATGATCCGATATGATCGGATTACCATGCAGATCGGTACTATTTTTATTCCTGTGTATGCGTTCCTAAAGGAAGATGTTCAGACATGTATATTTTCTGATACCAGTTATAACAGCTTTTTAAGAAACCGTAGCGGCGAAGAGAAATATGTAATAGATTACGCTGTAGGTCGATATTTTGCAGCTTCTAACCTCCAATATGTGACATTATGCATAGCTTGATTGTTGATAGTGTGCGTTTTTCAGAACTACAGCTTCATGGAATTCTTCCGACAGATATCAACTTTCTAGTGTGCACCCATGGTCACTTGGATCATATAGGAAATTTAAATTTGTTTCCAACTGCAAAGATTATTCTTGATAACGATGTTTGCTCTTTCCCTAGTAGGTTCAGTGGAAGTTCATTAAAGGTCATTTTGGAATTTGTTATTTTTCATCTGCTGATGGTAATTTTTTAGGGTCAGGAAGCACATCCATTGACTTCAAACGTTAGCCTAATGCGAACGACTGGCCACACTAGCCATGACATAAGCGTTGTTGTAACAAATGCGATAAATGGAGGCACACTTGTTGTTGCAGGTAGTTGTTGTGCATTTTTTAAATCAGTTTTATTTTCTCATTCAGGGGACATATTCGAATGTGAACATGACGACGTCGACCGTAAGTGGGAACAGTTATCTTGGAATCCAGAGATGCAGAAAGAATCGCGTCAGCTTATCCTCGCTCTAGCTGATTATGTTATTCCTGGCCATGGAGAAATTTTTTGCTCTCGTAAATGCAGCTGAATTATGTTTAGGGCAGTTAATATATTTTGCTATATTTTATATTTTGCATATATGCTTATATGTACGAAGCATTTCCTTTTGCATTAGAATTCATGACTCTAAAGAATCGCCTTATTCAGGTAGTGATTAATAAGCAGTAGCATCGAACAATCGGTTTTTCTTCCGGCACACTCACAATTTTCAAAAGCTGATCGTTTAATCGCCGGAACAATCACACGGAACTCTACGGTGCAACATGAGTGTCTGTTCATGGCATGGCCCATTGCATTTGCGACGCCACTTCGGAATATAGGTCGCGGATCACCATTCATCAGTTGCGTTTGTCTCGCCGTTGTGCTGCATGTCATATTTTTTCACCACTTATTTTAAACATCCGCAATCAGATATTCGTCGTGGGGATTTCGAAATAGCAGGCGCATTTTCTGTTCTGGACATTTCGTTCCTTGCACCAACGCGCCCGCACAGTTGATCAGCGTGTTTGGGGTTGCTTTCTCCTCAGTGACCAACATCATGCAATAAACGACCATCCTCGGGATGGGCTTCGGCTACTGTTTCCATTGATGAATGTGCTTTAATACTTATACCTCATCTGGTCTGAAATTTGCAGTGTCCACCTTCCCGAATACGATATCCTCTGAAACGTAGCTAATACTCAATGACCTTGACCGGATCAGGCTATTTAAGTCTAACAGCGAAGTTAATCTCTGATCCCATTGATGATAGTTGTTTTATGAGGAATTGAATGGAATAGCAACGCTTGCACTTGCCACGTAAGGACTTTCCCAAAGCTTCTGTTTTCGTTATTTTATTCAAAGTTAGTGTGAATTATTCTTATTCAATCATCTCATTTTTGGATGATCCGGCTTTTTGCAAATGCACCTTCAGGCCATTACCCTTGGAAAATGATTTTACTTTGCCAGAGAAAAGTTGGTCTGTTATCCGGTTAC